TTCGGCAATAATAATTCGAATTGAAACTTGTTGTGAAACCTAAAATTGAATTTAGACCTAGGTTATCACCAATAATTAAAGATAAAACAAAGTAAATGTGGAAGTCTCCCTCTTGAGTTTTTAAAACTATGCCCTCCGTTTCTAATTGCTGAATGATTTGTATCAAAGGATTAAATGCAAAAATATTGCCGTATTCTTTTCGATGCCTAGATTTAAAGAAGCCTGCAACAAAATGGTTTTCTAACGTCGACAAATGGTGACTTGGAATTGTTGGAAAATTGTAATATATACCACAAATTGCTTGATCAGCAGCATGGGAACCCAAAGGGTTATCAATTCCAAATTCATCATAATATATTATGTACGGAATGACGAGTTTATCTCCAAAACTAGAAATTTTTTCTTTCTTATGTATTTTGTATTATGTATGTATATGTATTTCTATATGTATTTTGATTTGACTGTAGCATTTTCATATTACCTAACGTTTTGCTCAAGTTATTGTCTGTTTCGAAATATTTCTTCATTTGAAATTTGATTGGCATTAATACACCTACCACTTTGTTTGAATTTAAACCCGGGTTACTATTAACTACTATTTCTGCTATTTCTTCATTGATAATGTATGAAGTTGAAAGTTGAAAAATTTGTTCACTTTCCAAAGCCTTAAAAAAACGGTACTCATTAATATTATTATCGAGAGCAGGAAATAAACTAAGGAAATTTGTTTCAGCGGTTGTTCTGATATTTGAGTTTGATATTAAAGGCGACAGTGACATTAATACATGTTCTTGTATTGGCTTTAAAATTGTATCGTTAATTTCTTGTACAATAGAAAACACATCTTTTCTTGTGAAATTGTTTTTGTTATGTAGAGACAATACAAACATATTCATATTAAATTTTTTTTGCGTTGTATTATTAAAATTAGAACTTAATTTATTAGTCTGCCCTTTAGTAATATTAGGCCTAACAAAAACAGGTGCATGATAAGATACAGCAGGTGTACTTGGCAACGACGCATGAACTCTACGTAGGTGATTTTGAAAACTATACACGTTTGAAAAACATTGACCACATTTAGAGAAAGTGCAAACAAAATTTTTTATCTCAGCAAAAACATGGAAAGATTTCAAATGGTCAACTAACAATTTTGATGTAGAAGACCTTTCGTTACATATAAAGCATTTGAACATTTTATCAATCTACTCCAACAAGTTTTGAGTATCTTTTAAATAATTCTTAAGTGTAATAACATTAGGGTGTGCACAATCCGCAATGCCAAAAAAGTAGGATTCGATAAAATTATATATGGATTTCGCTTGTATCGGATATTCCAAATTTAATACATGAAAGATTTTAAATAAAGTATCAAGTGATTTTAAAAATGTCGGTACCTTGTAAATTATACTGTCGAAAATAACGTAAAAAGAGTCTAACTGAGTTAGTTTCTCTCCGACTACCAATAGTAGCGGCTGAAGAGGAAGATTCTTTTGATTTAACTTAATCTTTAATTCGTGGTACATCCTCTGATAATCGTTTATGCTGCTGCAATGCAGCAATGTCACTGCTTGCGCATCACATATTGATGGCTTCCATTTAAGCCGTTTTTCACCAGAAGTTTGTCCAACGGAAATTAATGACGGTTTAAGTATCGCATGCAAAAGCAGTGTCAATAAACAATCCATTGAGTCTGCATAAGAAAATAAAATAAATACTTGAAAAAATAAATATTAGACTTGTTGCTTTACCAGTACTGATGTTTTCGTCAATTTTTTTTAGCATATCAATGGACGTTGCATCTCTTATTTTTGTCTTCATGTAAGGTATAATTGACTTTCTAAATTTTGGCCATTCGTTTAGCAAATTCTGCGAACAGTTGGGAAATTTCGCTTCAAAATCAATTTCAACCTGCAGTATAATTGAAAATATACAAATTCCAAAGTTTTATATCATAAATAAGAAAATTTAAAATAGGTACATATATAAAGCTAAACTTACCAAAGTGTATCCAAGACTGTGTTTCAGCAGCGGCCAATTAGTTAAAATATTTGCGTGTTCATTTAAAATCTCTGCGGTTCTTAATTTGACTGTGTTCGTCCATTTTTCTACAACATCGCCCCAAGGCTCTACATTATGACAAAGCCAATTTTTCATGGCTAAGTCATTTTCATCTGCTAATCGAAGGAAATATTAATCATGGTTTTTCCTTACATGTGTATGTACTTATTTTTGTATGTATGTACGTGTAGGTATTGCACCGTGCGACAAAAACAAAAAAATTTCGAAACCCACGAAGCAATCAATATACTCACGAAACTGTGGGCCAAATATAGTGGTATATACATACATACACGTACATAGATAAGTACGTTTTTGTAAAATTAAATTTACTATTGCTCGCCTGCTCCGACAAACTTGATTGAGTGGGTTGACATTTAGGTGCAACGCTTAGTGCTCCTGTTTCTTTTTTTATTTTCCTTCGGATGTTTGTTGCCTTATCATAAAGTTTGCCTGTTGGATTTTTGCCATTTCGACGGTTGCAGTAATAGCGCTAAATAAAAGTAAAATAAATGCATTTAAGTGTTGAATTTTTTTTTTTTTAATATTCACAACGTTTTTCAAGCTAAATTTATTCTGTTATTTTTCTATAAAAATTGTATCCAAGCTTTAGCCAAAACCATATAAATCAGAGTTTCGAACTTTCTTCCACTTTTTATTTCGTAAGAAATTCATGCTTATAAGGAAAAAAGGGCAAAAATCTGTCAGCTAAAAAATTATTAAAAATCAGTGCTATTTTTTATCCGCTTGAAACTTGATCCTCCTTTACATATGTATTTACAAATTTTGATAGCAAGTGAATATGAAAATGCATACATACCATGTCTTCGTTGGGAAATAAAATTGTTATTTGCTCAGAAAAGGTGATGATATCTTTCATTGTCATAGGCACTGATCGCGCTGAGAAGTGGTCAACAATGGTATTTACCAAAATGTCACGACTAACATCTGACAGCACGGTCTTTTCTCTATATTGTTTAAAGATGCTTTGACCTCTTTCAGTGGCATTAAGTATTAACTTTAAATTCTTTGCTTCCATGTCTCTTATCGAGTCGTGAGACTCTTGGCTAGAATTTATCCAACTCTTGCATGATCCTATTGACGAAATGGTATCAGCCTTAAAATAAAAAAAGTATGCAAAGCTTATCATTGATGTGAAAATGATTTACTTACTTCATTCTGTCGCCAACGTGCAACTCTTTCTTTAAACTTTACTCTCGTTCCGAGCATTGATGCAGGGAAAAGTTCATTTATGTCCCCATCGTTGATGAAATACAGACTTTCTACATCCATTCCGCAATCTGTCAATAACATAAATATGCATATGGTTCCTCGCAGATTCTCAAAGAACTTACCGAGAATTCTTTGATAAACTTCTTCACTGAAGTTCATTTTACCACATACGACGTCTTTCAAATTTTCTTTTTCACGTGAAGCTTCAGTGGCTTGGCTTTGCTGCAGTGAAGTCTCAACTTCATTCCCCATGGTTAAATCACCATCAACAACGAAATATATGCCCGCCGATTCCCCAAAGACATTTTCTGTACCCATTCTTCTTAATATTTAAATAGCTTTTTTTAATAATCTTTCACAAATAATACACCAAATAAAAATGCAACCGAATGACGAAGAACGCGCACGCAAATAAAATATTACGGTACTTTTATGTTCTCTAACCACATACCCTGTAAAATTCACAATAGCTCATGTCAAAACAAACAGAAATCATGTTGCCAGACCTTTTTAACATCAACTAAATGTAAATTTAACACTTTATGTGTTTGAATCAACATTATTTAAAAAAACCCTCATGTAAATTTTACAATAACTCAGGTTGCAACAAACAGGAATCACGTTGCCATATATTTTTAACACTATTCACATGTAAATTTAACACTATATCTTGGTAAATTAACCAAAAATACTTCATGTTACTCTTAACACTTTTTTCCTGTTAAAAATATCATGTTAAAATGGAAAAATTGTTGTTGTTTCGTGTGTACAACTGTTTCATGTGAATTTAACATGGATCGTGTTACTTAAAAATCGAGGATATTTTTCTGGGTGTGGGTCTCCCGTTCTTTGAGCTTGAGGGCGATTGATGACAGACAAGCCGATCTAGGCAGCGCTAAGTAAGCGGCCAGAACAACAATAGATAACGAATATAAAGAAAACACACCATTATACAAGCTTGTATGAAATTACCTACTGGGTTGAAGCGTGGACTATATCAATCGGTTAAGAGGAAGACTTGAGAAGACTAGAACGAGAAATCCTGGACATGTGATAGAAGAAAACATGTGGAGAGTAAGAAACAATGGCAGTATTTGCAGAACTACCACAAGTGGGGGACGTGATGAAATTCAGGCTGTCCCACAGAATCTGATGGGCAATACTTGTGAGACTACTGAAGGTGAAACCGAAGCGGAAAGACGACAAATGGGTGTACGTGCCCGGAATGACATAGTTTTTTACCTGGCTGAGAACTGTTACTCCAGCAGCATTTCCCAAAAATACTTTATTTGTTATGCTCTTACAACAACAAAGCCAATGTAAGATAAGACTTTTCGAGAATGGGAGTCGGAAACTGGGAGATGACAGCTGGAGAAAAATGTCAACAAATGGTCTACCACATCGAATGACTCAAGAAGATGATTTGAAAACCAGAACAGCTAGGCAAATTAAGTTCGAAAAATTTAATTGAAATCGAAAACCATAACAGGGGTGATAAATTTAATAAAACTGCAAACAATCACTCACATAATACAATTAATATCATTGCAACAAAGCTGTCAAAAGAAATTAGAATGAAGTAATTGGTCTACATATATTAAGTAATTTACGATTTAACGTGTATTAGTTTTACTTATATAAGCAGATAATTTTAGAGTGTCCCATCCTTTCTTGATTTAACATAGTGTATATTTTGATTATTATAGGAAGACGTTTCCGTAAAGCTTGAAGCGCTTGACATTCTCACAGACTTACTTTCACGTTTTGGAGCGTTTCTGGTACCTTTTCACAACCCTATTCTAAAAGCATTGTTTCCCCAACTCGAGTCAACTCGCCAGGCCGTCAGAAAGCGTTCGATCGTTGCTCTGTCACACCTTCTTTTGTTGGCCGACGATAGTATATATGACAGCGTTATTGATCGCCTCCTAAAAGGTTTGAAAAATAATTCCAGCTCTGGGGCTGTTCGCACGTACATTCAATGTTTAGCATCGATTTGGTAATGTATAAATGCAATTTCCATGTTATTAATTTGTAATTTAATTTAATTTACTTAATCGTAGCCGGCAGTCTGGGCCACGTTTATGTAGTCATGTTAATCCAGCCATAGAACATTTAATAATGTATAGCCATTGTGACGACGACGAAGTTCATGAGTTTTGCCTCCAAGCGTTTGAAGCATTTGTGTTCCGATGTCAAGACGCAGTTACTCCCCACGTGTCTATGGTATGAATACATTTATATTTCTGTGGTAAAAACTAAAAACTTAAGAAGTGATTCAGCTTTAGAATGTCGGACATTTCGAACATTTCGAAGTTTACAAAGTTTAAAAAAGTCATTTGTCTAAATTAACGGCTGTGATCTGTGTGTGTGTCTTTATTTAAATCAAACGGACTGTTCCAAAAATAACACAATGCTACAACAAAAAGTAATTTTTAAGCAAAAAATAAAACCGACTTAAATTCTCATATAAAAAAATAAGAGTACCGTTAATTTCTGCATGATCCAATGATCGGCTCTAACGTATGCGAAATAAAATGTGGACTATTTTTTATCAGGCTTTAAAAAATTCTCTTACAAAAAATCTTTGCGCATTTTCATTTGACCACTCATTACTTCTTTATTTATCCATCGATTTTCTACATTAGTAACATGATGTTTTTGTAATCGAACAGGCTGTAGGACAAATGCAAAATTTTGACCCAGAACCTGTTATTTTTTAAATTTTTCTTCTGTTGAAAGTGTTTCTTTTTTTCATATTTTCATAAAAAAATAAAAATCTGGAATGATTAATTTGTCAGAAACTATCAGACCTATCGAAAAGTGATGTATATTCGGTCTATGTAGAATTTTGTTGGCTTTCATTTGGCGTATTTCATATTAAGATTGTTAAATTGGCTCGTAAGATATACGTGATTAAGTTTAACCTTTTCTTGTTTTAAGCTGAATAACGGTAAATTGAAAATATCTTGAAAACTTATCCATAGAATAAAAAATTAAGTAGATTTTCGAAATCAGCGAGCAATTCTTTATAGGAATTGGATAGTGGCATCCATTGAATATTTTTGCTGTAAACCAGTGTAATTATTATTCTAATATTTAGGATCAAATACGTCGCCTTATTTTAGGAGAAATTGTTTCCGTCTTTGTATAGTAATTATTTACGAGAAATATCGTTTTTGGTCTCGCGGGGGGATTATTTTCATATGGAAATTATTTACGTATTTTCATAATAATTATATGGGATTTTTATTTTGCTCGTCTCTGGGGACGTTTATTTCAGGAAGAAAATTGTTTACGTCTTCTCATAATAGATAATTATATGGGATATGATTTACGTCTTCTCATAATAATTATGAGGCACTTTTTTCGTCCCGGGGGACGTTTGTTTTAAAACCGAAATGATTTACGTCTTTTCATAACAATTACATAAGTACATATATGAGACTTTTATTTTCCTCGTCTTTCGGGACGTTTATTTCAAGACGACAATGATTTACGTCCCGCGTTTTCACTTAATAGAATCAGTACATGTACTGCCGATTTCGCAAATATCTCCGAGCTCGGTTATTTAAATTTGATTTGCTAACATCTGGCAACCCTTTTCATAAAAATAGAACCACATAACGAACGATACACTTATCATCGAGCAGTGGTCAGCGTAACACGTCCGAAGAGTGCGAACCGCCAGACAAAAGTCTGATTAAACAAATAACAATCGGGACAGAAAAAGTAAAAAAAACTAAAAGCAGAAAAAGACTGCAGAAAAATTTGAACATGGAAAATTCCAGAATTGAGGGACAGACGGACACAACAGACCTAACGGAATCAGAAACGGACGATACTTTAAGAACGGTACAATGCAAAAAGTCAAAGAAGGACAGTACACACACACGCATACCGATGCAAGGCATGCTAGTGCCGAAAGGTACATACCAAAAAGCACCAATAAACCCAACAAGCAATTTGACTGAGAGCAGGGAACAAATACCAACAAATAAATACACGGAGACATATAGAGGTGAATTTAACGTTTTAGTTGACTCGTCAACGAGCAAGCTGTTTAGTAATGATCCCTAAAAAACGGGTTCTTCCTGTGGGATAAGATTCGTGATTTCAACATAAACAAATCGGAAAATATTAAAGCCATTGGAAAGCCTTTGTACAAAATGGCTTTCGAGACTCACGAACATGCGAATAACTCGCTCAAAAATGCCGAACTGATTGACAACAACATAAGGGCCTTCATTCCCAAAAGTTTCACCGAGACTTATGGGGTTGTAAGACCAGTTCGAACCAACATTCAGAGTTATGTCAAAGCACATCAGTTCAGCGCATTTTGAGAAGAGATGCGGAAAACAAAGAAAACCTTATTCCTACACTCACAATAAAAAGAGGCTTTGAAGGTAACGAACTCCCAGAGTCTATAAAAATCTTTTTTGTAAGTTTCATAATAAATCACTACATTCCAAAAGCAAGACAATGTTACAATTGCGGAAGGTTAGACCAGACCAAGCTCTCGTGTAAAGCGCAGTCAAGGGAGGGGAAATGGATGCGAAAGAAAAGTGCAACGAGAAGAGCAAGTGTGTTTCGTGCGACGATGAATGCTCTTTAAATCGAGATAAATGTTCGGTATGGGAAAAAGAGCTGAAAGTAGATGAAATAATGGCGATTAAAAAGATATCGAAAAGGGAATCCAAGGAAACTTACCTCAAAAGTTGGGGGAGAAATAGGTTTGCAATTCTAGACGTTGACGAGAAAAACTTTCCAGCATTAGGAAACGGACTGCCAAGGACAATAAACAACGATGAAGTCATAAACCCAAAATTAACACATTAAAAGTACAATCAAGTTGCAAAACAACAAAAGAACCGAACTTATACAACAACAGTAAGTACATCTGACACCACAGCTCAGAGAACAACGAAAACTTACACACCTGTATACAATAGCAGCGTGTGGAGCAGAACATCGGAGATCGAAAAACTAGTGGCTGTACTATGTGAAAAATTCCAGATAAATACGGAGGATCTAACAGTACAATTCATAGAGAACCTATGTAAAAACAGCGCTAACGAAAGGCTGTTGACAAAACCAGCAACCACAAATGATGAGTTTAAAGATACTGCAACATAATTAACAACGCCTCAAGAAAAACAAAGACCATTTAGACTTCTTTATAAATAAACATGAAATAAATATTATTGCATTACAGGAAATTTTCTCGCATGACGAGAAAAAAAAATAACCTCAACTTAATACATTTTAATACACTCAAAGGAAAAATGGTTGGGAAGGAGTAGCCATTGGCAGCAAAAGAAACAGAGGGATGGAAAAAATTAGGTACAGAACCACACAAGACGTGATCATAGCAAAAACACTGAATCTAAGAAACAATATTACATTCTGCTCAGCTTACTTTTCACCGTCTCTGAACACGGCCATGTTTAAACGTGAGATTGACAAGTTAATGAACACCTTACAAGGTCACCCCAGGGTAACACTCATGGGGACCTTTAATGCAAAAAACAGGATTTGGGGTTGTAACAAAAATTACCTAAAGGACAAAGAACAAGAAAATGTGATAAAAAACTTAAACTGGGGATGTCTAAATGACGGCCCAAAAACCTTCTTTCAACACTTCTACAAGCTCCGTGCTAGATCTAGCCTTTACTAACGTAGCAGATAGTATTAACTGGGAACGTAACATGGCGTATGTTGGAGGAAGCCCTCACTACCCCATAATCCTCGAAATTCCCGGCGTAGTCAATTTGCCGGAGTACTTCATAGCGCAAAACTAACAAAACAAAAACTAAATAAAGCATCCAGCATCTCAGGGGGTGAAAATCTAGAAAGTCTAGAGAACAATATCAGAACAGAAATAAGAAAGGCTACTATCAACCTTAACGAATTCAAACACACACCGAAGGCGTGGTGGACGGAAGAACACAGCAAAGCACATAGAATACTTGTGGCTGCCCGAAAAAAGGCAAGACTCACAAATAGAGTGGATGACTTTGAAATTGTAAATGAAAAGGAGGAAGAATGGAAAAAAATAGTTGAGGGAGACCAAAAAGAATAACTGGGAGAAGTAGATTGAGGAAATCAATGAAGACCCCAACAGCAAAAACACATGGAAATTCATAAACAATGTAAATGGTAGTAGAAAGCACAACCCAAATCTGTGGTCCCAGGATGACAACCACAAGTACCTTGAATGGTTTCAAAAACAAAGTGAAACAATTGACAACTTAATGACCACAAATATGACAACACACACGAGAATGCAGCAAAACAACGACTACGTAAAATTTAACATGGAAAGTTTTGAAAATCTTAAAAAACAAAAAATCAACCGCAGGTGGGGTGGATCGCATAACATATGAAATGCTTAAACACATTCCAAGACAGGCTAAAAGCGAGCTCATCAAGACACTAGAAAAACATTTCAACGAAAACGAATTCAAACATAGCTGGAGAGAAATAAAAGCAGTTCCGATACCCAAGGCCAACAAAAACCTTGAGGACTATAAGAACTACAGACCAATTTCACTTATATCAACCGTGTTCAAAAGCTTGAACATGCTAGTTAAAGAAAATTTAACAAACTTCATTGGCACAAAAAAACTACTATCAAACAGAAGCTTTGCCTACAGAAAAAAACAAGTCTGCTACTATGTGCATCAATGAAGTTCTTTTTACTACAAGCATTCTACAAGCATGGACGCCTACAACCGAGTGGATATGAATATGCTGCACAGCATATTTAAACAGAACAACATCAATGATAGAATCAGCAACTGGGTTTACAATTTCTTCTCAGAAAGGAAACTCATACTTGGGAAACAGTCGGTTACGGTCAAAAAAGGGCTGCCCCAGGGCAGCTGCTTATCACCGGTCCTTTTCAACCTCTAAACAGACTACATCAAATCAACCACAATGACACCGCTCTCTACCAATTTGCAGACGATTTTGTCGCTCTAAGCAACCTTTTTTTTAAATAAATTTTGGCTATTTTTCTTTTGTTTATTTAATGTTTATTATTTTTCAATAAAAGTCTAGCTCATTATATAACAAACACCACATAAATCCAGATTTCAAACTTTGTGCAAAACTTATGAAAAATCTGCAAATTTTTAGCTGGATTTTCAACTTTTTATTCAGATATTGTCGAATTTATTTTGTATGGAAAAAGTTTGTATTGCAGTCAGAAAAAAATTATTAAT